TTTTTCTATTTATGGGCTCCTATCGCGTGTGCGTTATTTCCCGTTCGCATTGTCGATGTAATCGCGCGAGAAAACGCCTGTGCGAGGTAACGCATATTGAGAAATTCCGAGACACGATTTTTACAATCCTATCTAGCAAACTGATTGCTACCGAAGAACGCGGGGATCAGAATTAATCCGAGTTGCGCAGCTGAAGAAATACGGTTATTCGGCCACGGAGTCGCTCGTTCGATCGATACGGCACAGCTCACAGAGAGCCACGAATTCGTTATATGTATGTTTTCGACACGAGAGCGTCAATTTGTTTAGGTTCGAGGGTGGTTTGCATTTTAGCGTTATTATTTGTAAATAATTTGTATATTTTATAATTATTTATAAGCAATTATATTTCATAAGCAATTAGCGAAGAAACTGATCGGTAGTACGTGTAATACGAATAAAATAATTAATCCTTTTAACCGATTTGTTAGATAATTGAATCTCGAGGAAAAAAAGTAAAAAAAATTTTTTTATAATTTTTAATTTCATTTTACCATTAATTATAGATAATTTGTGTAAAAATTTTTGCTTCATATATACACATCCGAAAAGAAAGTTTTGCTGAGGTATCTACAAATTTGATCCAACAGATTATTTTTAGATTAAGCCAAATTTTTAGATGTTTCAGCAAAACTCTTCTTTCGGTATGAATGATCGCAGTTAAACAAATTAAAATTTTTTTTATTTTAAAACAAACTGCATTTTCATTCGAATATTTACACATTTATTCGATTAGGAGTATTAATAAATTTTTGATTATCGCACGACACAAAGAATATTGATCACGTTTGGTAAACATCAAGAATCAAGTTCGCAATCTCAGCCGATTGCGTCATTTCACGTGATCGATTCGAGAACACGGCTCGGTTCGAGAAGCTTCCACTCCGCTCTTTGGAGCTATGCCGTATATACTAAAGTCGACGGAATGGTGTGTCGAGTGTGGTTGAGAGTCCACTGAACTTGTATACGAAATTGTTCAGCGATCTCCTGGAATCGTCGATCGTGGAAACCATCGAGAGACAATTTTCCCAAACACATCTCAATCGTCTGTTATTATCGAGTCGGCCCTCGTGCGATATTGTTTTCCTCGGCCGCTAATTGCGAGTGGGTCGATGATCGCGCAATTTCCGCGCGCCGGGCGGTATTTTCGCCCGGGCCGCCGTTAAAATTGGCGCAGAACTACGTAAAGACGTGGAGGCATATTATCGGCCTTTGGTTGCTAGGCGCTAAGCGACGCTGCCATGCGCGCGTATCCTGACGTATAATATCGGAGTGAACGGTGGGATGGACGAGGGGCGCGGGGCGCGGGGATGGAAGGAGGAGATGTGGGCAAACGGAGAGACGCGGTATAACGTGGGCGCGCTCTCGGGACGAGGAAGGGATGGACCCGGGAAGAGACGCGCGGGGGATGCGATGGGGAGGAAAGGAGGAAAGGAGCTCGACGAGGCCTGGCATAGCCTGACGCGTAAACTTCCAAGAGAGAGGGAAAATTCGGTGTATGTGCGACGTAATTCCACACGCTACGCGATCTCGACCACCCCCTCTCGACCTTGACATTGCCTGGCAGGCAGCCGGAGCAGGACACAGACTGCGCATCGCACGTTCGAGGCCCGAGCCTGTTTAAACCGGAGATAATTGGGTCTTTCGAGCGTAACAAGCGACCGCGATCGAGCGCGATATAATTTTCGCCCGGCATCGAAAAGATCGGGACGTCTTTGTCTTGGGTGACTTTCAGAGACTTACCAAACTCAATGCCTGATAAGAGTATAGAATGAATGATAATTTGTCTTGCAGGGAGACTCTAGCTAGGGTGAACGTTCTTGTCTCCAGAAATCAATCGACTGAAACCAAAAACAACGGTGTCCCGACCGTTTCGATGCCGATCGCCGTCGGAGGAAAGCGTCTCTAACGCGCGACTCTCGAGCACTTCGATCGATTCGTTCTTGATGTTAGGTCCTTGTCATTGCAATGACAATGCGATACAGTGCGACGTAATCGTAGAGAGCGACGCGCAATTCCACGCCGAAGAAGTATCGTATTGATTCATTGCAGTGAATATATTTGAGATTGCGATGCCTCTTTCGTTCTGACAGTTTCGCGCGAGCTCTGACTCCAGAAATTAAAATATCTTAATGTTGCCATAAATATCCAGATATTGCCTAAATGTTCGTGCATCATGATTCGTAACTACCTTTAAACTACATAAATAAACTAGGTAAATATTTGGCATGATTAAATATAAAAAAATCAATTAATAATAAATTATATAGTATTAAATATTAAATAAATTAATATTATTTTAATTATGTAATTTTAATTAATTTAGATTATTAAACATGTAGTTTCGGATATTTCGATCAATAGCCATGACGCACGAGCATTTGGGTGACATATATTTTTATTCGGAAGCATCAAGCAATTTTAATTTTTCATTTCTCCCCTTTTCTTCTCTTGAAGAGATCGCGAGTATGCGTGGGCATATCGATGCCGAATGGTCGAGGAAGCGAGGAGCTTGGTCTGAAAGAGTGTAAAGAAGAACTTGTGTGCTGCTATTACAGAACTATACAAACTGACCGGAGAAGTTCTTGGGGAAGGCGCTTACGCCTCTGTCCAGACCTGTACGTCGCTGTATACGGGCCTCGAATACGCTGTGAAGATCATTGACAAGATTCCCGGACACGCGCGTGCCCGGGTGTTTAAAGAGGTCGAGACGTTCCACCATTGCCAGGGCCATCCGAATATCATACAGTTGATCGAGTTCTTCGAGGACGAGGAGAAGTTCTATCTCGTATTCGAAAAAATTAACGGTGGTCAGCTATTGAACAGGATTCAGGAACGAGTTCACTTTACCGAGAGGGAGGCGAGCCAGATTGTCAAAGAGATTGCGAGTGCGCTCGATTTTCTTCACAAGAAAGGTAATTTCGACGAGCAATCGATAAGAAATTGTTATATAGAAATTAAGTTGTGATATTTATATTTTTATATCTCGTATTTTGTTGCGTGTTCAGGTATCGCTCATCGAGATCTCAAACCTGAGAACCTCTTGTGCGTATATCCTGACAAGTTGACACCGATCAAAGTATGCGACTTCGATCTTGGGTCAGGTATCAAGTTCAATAACTCGCTGTCTAGTCCCGTAGCAACGCCGCAACTTTTAACGCCGGTGGGCAGTGCCGAGTTTATGGCGCCGGAAGTGGTCGAGGCTTTCATCGGCGAGGCCAATTACTACGACAAACGATGCGATCTCTGGAGTCTCGGCGTTATTATGTACATTCTGCTCTGCGGTTATCCGCCTTTCTATGGAAACTGCGGCACCGATTGCGGTTGGGGCAGGGGAGAGAATTGTCAGGCCTGTCAGGAGTTGCTCTTCACCAGCATCCAAGAGGGCAGATATGAGTTCCCCGACAAAGAGTGGAGATGTATCTCCGAGGACGCGAAAGATTTGATCAGAGGCTTACTCGTTAAGGAGGCCCACCAAAGGCTCAGCGCCGATAGTATTTTAAAACATCCTTGGATCAATCCCGGGCCGACTTCCGTCGAAACTGGTGATCGATCACTTACCACGCCTCATATCATAAGGTGGGATGTTTGTTTTTAAATTTACTACTTTTTACATTTACATCTACTTTACATTTACTACTTTTGTCAATCGTTTCATGGTCGTATATATGACGCGCTCGTTATGTATTTATCTCTAGGAGGAACAACTCCGCTAGAGAACTCTCAGCGTTCGCTGAGTCCGCAATGGCTGTGAATCGTGTGGTACTTCAGCATTTCTCTCTAAATCTCGAGGAATTGGCGGAGAATCGGGAGCCGAGACTGTCCACATCATCGACCGACGACGACAATCATCCGTACGGTCATATGTCCGACTCTAGCAGCGAACTGTCCGAGAACAGCAAGCATCTGACGACACATTCGTCCAGCGAATTTGATGGCACGCGACCAAAGTCTTGTTCCGTGCGTTCCAGCGTCGATCTGAACGATTCCAAGATCATCGGCAAGAATCGCGTCATTGGTAAGGACTCTCTGCAGAATTGGTTCGGGCTATCACCACCGACCGAGAGTCGTCTGATGCAACGTCGTTTGAAGGCACGCTCAGATTTGCTCGAACGCCAAACTGGCAAAGCGGTAATCGCATCTCCGAGTGGCTGAGAGGTCGCTGCAGAACTGATCACTTTTTGTCGCTACAGTATCACTTGTCTCTTTGTAGCTACGTGAAAACGTGAACGATGTACAATACCTTTTCCAATGGCTTAGAAAGCTAACGTAGCGTAAGTCGAGTCTCTGATTCTGCGCGGATAATGAGAACAGGCTCAATCATTTATGATAGTGACGACAGCGATAATAATCGAAAAGTATTCGCCGCGAAAAGTAATCGAGGAATATCGTCGTTATCTTCTTTTTTTTCAATAGCCCGTAAGCTTCTTTTGTTTTAAACTTTCTTTTTAGCAGGCAACTGTATGATAACCAGACTGTTTTTATTTCCAATGTAAAATCTCTTTACACTCCTCAAATTAATCTCGAATTAATTGGTAACGTGATAGTTATGACTTTGAATAATGTAACTATTAAAGTAATATATGAAAAATATATGTAAAGTATAAAATAAGGGATTTGTATAGAGTTTTTCGTTTAGAATATAAATCTTAATACAACAGCGTGCGCGCTGTAAATGCATTGGAATGTACCCTGTTGCGGTACATAAGGACGATATTTAACATAATCGGAGCAGATATAATTATACCGCAATTTGACTTCAATCTTCGACGTTGCGCTCCGCGCGCGAGTAATTCCTTTCCCGTGTTTCATGGAAATAAAAGCAGGTCTGATTTCATTGAATTACTATTATCCTTGCTGCGTGTAATCCATTACTCATGCAGCCGTATGTTGCATATTGTACAGATAGTTACACAACACGCGCATCCAACATTGTATCACCATCATCCGCAGATTACACATACAAAATTCACGTATCGATATACATTCGAATATTTCGTTCATTCGCACATCGACATCGTGTTGTGTAAGTGAATCAACATTGTGGAAAAGTATACCCGAACGCGATTCGGACGATATGTTGATGCGTCGGCTGACGTTGACGCGACCTTATTCTTTCGTTACGCGCACGTTGAGACACCATGCGCGCGTTCGTGTGTAGGACATAAAAAAAGGGAGGAAAGTAAAGACTCTCGTGATTGTGATAATTCGTGCGCTGTTGTACGCATGAATGTCCTATTACGTAAATGTTATTTTTACTTCTTTTTTTGTTTGCTGAATTCTTTAAATTCGAAAAAAAAGAAAAAAAAAGAAAAGATCGACAGACGCAACCGACGTAAAACGAGAAAGATGTTCCTTTTACTGTTTTTTTGATATTGTTTCACATATGTTCGAGCCATAATATATTCTCAAATCAGAGCAAACGGATGAGCGTATTTCGACCCACAGGTGCAGATTATAGTTTGCTCATATTAGATGAATAGAAGCGCGGTAGATCGTAAGTCAATAAGATTTCGAAGCAACATTTCAATGATGATAATTACGCCGAAAGTGGAGCAAAAAGAGAAAGTGGCTAGTTCGTTTGAAATTTTCCAGTTAAAATCGCGGGATATCGTTTATCGATTAGCATTACTTATCTTTGTAGAGTTTTATCGACCAAAAATTGTTTTAACGCCAGCCCACCTATGATAACGCTTTATATTTTCGTACCAAATTATTTGTCTTTTCTAAAACTTTGTTCTGCAATTATGCGCGAATCTACAAAACAGTTTGGTTCGAATAGAAATAAAATTATCGATACTTTTTTCTTATTTTTATCGTGTGTTTTAAGATAAAAAAAAAAAAAAACAAAAAGATATAAAAAGAATTTTTTTTCATTCAACACGTCTTGTGATGCGGTGGATAGATTTTACTCAGGGCAACTGGGGAGACCGCTGCGCACGGTGTTCTATACATTACACTCGTACAATTTAAAAGCGAAGATAGGGAGAGAATGTAAGAAGAGCTATCTGTAAGATTTACAGAGTGCCGTCCCTCCAGAATTTAAACATCGGAGCTGTTGACATTTTGAAATTTCGGAATCTTCCTTGTAGAAACGCGAATAAAAACTCTGGAGGGGTTGCGAACATAACAAGCGTTTGTACATTGTAATCGCATCATTGGAAATTTTCTTAGAAAGTCATTCGCTTGCTGTAGGACATGGCGGATATGGCTTTTGTCAACTACTGTCTTCTTTGTACTTTGTAAGTACCGATGTAGAGTTTATAGCGCGCGCGTGGATAAGATTATATATATGAAAATCCGTGTAAATAAAAAAGAAGCTACAATGTGTAGAGATATGGAAAGCAATATATAATGCGAGCTCTCTTAAGTGGAGAATATTGGAAGATTAATATATTTATCGGCCTCTTTGCGCAAGGCCAAAGAAGTTTCCGCGTCGTTCCTTAATCAGCTGTAAAACATGTCAGAAATTACCTTTCTATCATAAAGAAAAGCTCATGTTTCCCGCTTGTCTTTCTTAATTTGTTTTGCGCGAAGTTTCATATAGTATAACCCACCTTATACATTAAGCAATTAAGCATATGCTCAGAAAACCTACAAAATTATTCGTTATCCTTTCTATTGGGTCCTGAAACGAAGGGATTTGTTTTGTATCGATCGTGCGACTTGGTAAAATACCAACATAGGCTCGAACAGTGTAAGTGAATGCTCTTTCTTTTTTTTCTTTTTTAATTAAAAAAGGGAATATATAATATAAGAAGATATGAAAGTGTGGTGCGTAAGGAAGTGTGTCGCGTAAGGAAAAAAATATAAAAGGAAAAGAAAAAAAAAATATACAAATGGCCATAATAAGCAGATCTGTAAGCGTAACGAATTTAAGATTGTATAATAGAATGTGAATAGAAATGTATGTTTGCGCGTGCGTGTGCGTGTGCGCGCGTCGTGCGCGCGCGCGCGCGTGTGTGTGTGTGTGTGTGTGTGTGTGTGGTACGCGCGCATATATATGTGTTTATGGCGAAGCAAGTGTGAAGAAAGAGGAAGCGTATGGAAGAAACTAATTACTAATCGTTAAGAGAAAATCCAATACCTTATCGTAAGTTTGTAGCATAAGAGCCATAATACATAACATGGCGTAATGATCTACGAGACGTAATTCGTAAACGTAAGCAACGAGCTTTGGCGTATGCCGTAGAATTGCCATATTAAATTCTAAAATTCATACGCCAAAGCTTGTGCTATGACTTATGTCTATCGTAGATCATCACATCACGTGCTATGTGCTATGGCCTTAAAGGCACCGCTGAATTATACCGACTGGTAGATTGTTGTTTATTTTTACTTTTTTTACATACGCATCTCTCATTGTAACGCGAATGGATCAATTCGATACTTTCGTTTACTCTTTTCACGAGAACGGTTAACATAATTGTTTTCGATCGCCGAAGATTGGAATTGTGATAACGCTTTTGTGCAGTGGTTGGACTTGTAATATCGGGTTTCGGTATAGCGCAGCGGTCAGTTATACATGTGAGATGCAGACATTATCATTCTCATTCTCTTCTCTATAGTACATGGTAGTACGTCGTAAGTCCTTTTGCCGAGTGGCGATTAACGAAAAAGAATGTAACCGTGGGAGACGTTGGTGTGTGTTTTTTTCGCGTCGTGCCAACGCCGTAGCGCGCGGTAATCCTACGAAGAACGAGTCACGATGTGAGGAAAGCGAGAAATTTTCGTTACATTTTTTCAAGAAAAGAAAGCGTGAAAAAAAAAACGAATAAAAATAATTACCACTTTTAATATGTGTATGTGTGTTATATGTATGTATAAATATATGTATATATTAAAAGTGGTACGCATCCCATTCCTCTCATCTTCTGTCCGCACACTCTTCGTAGTATCCGCGGTTGACACATATCTTCACGGAGGATGCGCATTTTCTTTTTCACCAAGGAAAAAAAAGAAGATATACGATATTGAGCACACAACAGGGCGCATCCTCCTTTTTGCGAGAGAAAAATAGGAGAGATCTTGTCGAGCACAGGCTATCGTGTTCGAGATCAGATCACCGGCGATCTTTGGTTTCGACGAAATGTTCAGTTACGTTCTGGAAGGAAAAAAAAGAAAATAAAAAAAGAGTGTGCGGCGACTCGACAAGAGCTGATTTTCCATCACTTTTCTTATTCTTGTAATCGTAGTAGATATATCGCCCGAAGATGGGATAGTAAGAGAACATTGGAGAATGTAAATAAGATTTATCTCGTAGCTATAGTGCCTATATCTTAAAAGAATTAGATCGATAGGTAGTAGCTCCCCGGTTTTCATCCTACCAATCTTCCTTTCCATCGCCCTTCCCACAGAACGCAACACACGTCCCTCGCATTTTCATGGCCTTCTAAACCATCCCTTGTCCAACCTCTTCCTTCTCCTTCCCTCTCCGCGAAATCGAGACATTCCTCTCCGAAATGACCTCTTTATCGACTTACCAGATCCCCTTCCCATCCTCGCGTCGCAATCCCTACTTCTATGCGTCCCAAAAAAATTGTTATAAAACGAGAAAAATGGCCAAAAAATATTTTTTATTTTTCATACCCACTTGTATGTAGAACATATACGATATATTTTTTTGACACGGTTGAGGAGACGGAGCTTGATTGCGAAGAAAGAAGGGAGTGGTCGTATCGTATTCCCGGGGATCGTTCTCTCCCTAAATTCCGATTGAAAATATCTGGGAGAAATGTCGGGGGATGCGATGGCCTCTCTTTTGTTCCTTGCGTTTGGTGCGATATCTTACTGCTTAGTATTAGAGATTTTGTAAACCGAAATCGCTCTTCAGTTTTGCGAGAGTATGAGTGAGAGAGAGAAGAGAGAGAGAGAGAGAGAGAGAGACGTCCGAGAATAAGGGCTGAAGTCCACTTAACAGCGTGCTCACGTACAATTTTCGATACTGAATTGTGAAAAAAAATTTTTGTAAATACGTTTATTTCTAAAGGAGGAATATCAAATCGAAATTTCTTTTCGATTTCACCGCAAGTTTTAATCAAATACAAATCGTTTAATTTGTATCTGGGACAATCGTACCGTCGTTCTCCTTTAAGTACGCGAATATGCGATATCGTCGGATTCTAAATGTCAAAGCGATATCAACAACATCATGTCGTGAGCACGGAGGCGCTAATTTCTCGTACGTACTTTTATCCGTATTTTAAGTGGCGCGCGTTAGTTGCGCGAGAAACATTGTAAATGTTGAGACTGGATTATGAACGTACAAAAATACCTTATATCTGTATAACAAGACATGTTATAATCACTTCGCGATTCGATCAACGCGTACGATCGTCCGAGGGAGCGAGAATGCTCGTAACGTGATTTTGGTTCGATCCGCGTGCAACCGTTCTTACGATTCGAACAACTATCCATGAATCCGATTGCAGATCGGCAATGGCGTGATTTGAAGAAAAGAAAAAAATAATCTGATTTGTCATTAATTCCTCACACAATTGATCATTAAAATGTATATTTTTTAAGTGAAATATTAAGACATTTTATTATACATTCCTTTTCACACAGAGCATACACACACACACACACACACACACACTCGCACTCATTCTTCATATCATATTTGTTTTCTCTCGATTTACCTGGCATATCCGCGCCATTGTTTTACGATCGTTGCATCCACCTGAAATTAAGATTCATCTCGCTCCATCATAATTTTAGAAAGTTATCGAGAGACGCATAGGCGAACATGCGACTGGAATGTTGATATTAATTCTCGAAAGCTCGATCTCATTTAATAAAATACGAGACGATTCATACAAAAGTTTAGACGAGAATAAAATACACACTTGAAAGCTAGAGATTTAATATTCCGAGAGCATTAACGTCTCACATAACGTCGTTCGCGAAGACGTACCAAATTAACTTAGGGAAGAGGTCTTTAGCCAAAAAAAAAAAAATCAGAAATTTGTGTAAAATCGTGTCCATGTCGAAAAAGTTAATTAGAATTTAGCGAACCGACTTAAAAGAAAAAAAAAGAAAAAAAGTAAAATCCATAGAGGATCCGTGAGGGATACGGGAAAACGTCGGCGGACGTTACGCTCACGTTGGCTTTAAAACGCTTCTCGACGGGATTCCGGCGGGCGTGCATTCGACATGGTCGCGGTTCCGGAGTGCGGGAGATCGCCAAGAGAGATCGTATTTAATTTTCGTACGTGCACGTGCCGTCCTTGCGCGCCGACTTGCCGTTCGAGTCGGCCACAAGCGTATATACGAGTACAAATCGCAGCCCTTTAGCTTTCGCGTTAAAAGAAAATTGCGCGCAGGGTGCGAGGCCTTCTCTAACGAGTGTAAAGAGTCTCGGCGAACCTGCCACTTTTCTCGGCCAGAAACGCAAACACGAACGTTCGCGCACGGGGATAAAAATTCCCCTCGGGATAAAAATTCCAGTATTTCTCGATTCGAGAAATCGCCTGATGCTTTTTACACTTTTTATAAAACACCCTGCGCATCGGGGCGGCGGCGACCGAATGGGAATACAGTCGGGTCTCCGTATTCTTAATCCGGAACCTTAATTCTTCTTCTTTCACTTTGCTTCCATTTTGGTTCGATCGGTTTTGTTCGATAGAATTGCGAGCTAATAATACTTTGCTCTTTATTCAGTTTTTGATCGATTACAAGTGTGATTTTTATTTCACGCGTCTAGGACGATCGGAATATAAATAAACGCTGTTGAAAGAGAAATTCGAAATAGAGATCGCTTAATTTACTAGGAATATACTACGGAAATCCGACTGTATGTCCGATCGATTTGTAATTAACGAGACATCGGATCGTTTCCTCTGCGAAAGAAAACGATGTCGATTTATCCCCATCCCGCCTTCGACTAAACGGAGAGTCGCGATCGCATTTTATTAGTCTCGGTCGACAACGAAAAGCTCCATTGGAAGCTGAGGGATATTTTCGGATCGGTTATATCCTATAGAAAAATATTAACACGTCAGCGTTGAGGATACTGAGCGAATTAGATCGGATAATTATTATTACAATCGGATTACAATTACAAATCGGATGATACGTCAATGTTGTTCACGAGGGACACACAAAAGCGAGAGTCGGCGAGGGCGTTAAACACCGACCTCCCGACTCCGACGAACGCACTGCCGATTGCAAGATGCTCTCTGCCGCATAACGAAACAATCGACAAAGTTTAAAAAAGATATCCGGTATCCTCGAGAAGATCCCAGGTATTTTTCTATAAGGACTCGAGGAACGCTCTTCGTGATAAAGTTTTAAGGAAAATTCGTCCTGTGTGTTTGCGTGCGTGTCAATCAGCCCAGAGCGAATCGCGTAATAATCTACCTTGTTGACCTTTTCCGATGTTTAATTACAGTTGCGGTTTCGGGATTGACGAGAAATCCGTTGTTGAATCTTGAAACTATTCTATGAGAAAAAAAAAGTGAATGAGCGAGAGAAAGAAGAGAGAGAGAGAGTGAGAGCGAGAGAGAATGTCGTCATGGTGATCCTCTACGTATTCTTCGATTACGCAACGGCGGTTAATACGCTATCTCAGTATGTCCGTGATAACAGCGACTGATAGCGCAATATCTTTCGCGTTAATACGGCATCGCGATCTTTCCCAAAGTGTCGTCCCGCGCTGCTGCGAAACGACGACGAGGCGACGATGCGGTCGGTCTCGTTTTTCCCGACGATAAGACGCGAGGTCGCGGAAACCTGAGACAGAGAGAGGTAGTCACGATAACTTTGGCGATAACTTGGAGCTAAAACCGAGCTGGCGTTATAACGTTATGTCAAACGGATTTTCACTGAATTTACCGAAGCGTTGTGAAATAGCGAAGTGAGCTTTACTTGAGACGCGATTGCGGAATGCGCGCGGTAGGGATGTAAACGGCTGTAAACGTCCTATATAATTAATGCGAGTCAATACGGGGATTCTGAGGGGGATGCTTTTTGTATTACACGAGGTAAACGAACATGACAAATACAAGAGAGACTGAGAGAAAGAGAGATTTTGAGAGAGTGTGAGAGAGAAAGCGAGTGAGTGACCAGAGACTCTTTGTCGAGAAAACGAGCGTGAGATATTTTCGTTTTCCGAAAACGGCCGCTTCTCCTCTCGGGAGCCTTCATTCATTGATATGCAACTGATTAATTGGCAAACAGGCTGAAGAGATAGCCCGGATAATTTAACGGCGATAAAGAGAAAAGAGAAGCGCCAAGGTCGATAAGAGGAAAACGAAAGAGAATCGAGAGATTTGTAATATCGCCAGATTATAATCACTATTAGCCGTATAATACTTTATTGGAATATATGAATTATTAATCGGGAGAAGAAAAGTCGAAAAAATAAAGAGAGGCAAACATGGAAAAATCGAGTCCATCTCGTTATTCCTGCAAAACCCCTTTCTTATTTGCGAGCGTTTAGAGTAGAGATTCAACTCGAATGAGATCAATGAAGACCAGTGAGATCTAAAAGAAATCAATTATTTCAATTTTTTACATCAGAATGCCGGAAACAACAAATATGAATAAAAAAATATAATAATTTTAAGTTAGAAATTTTATCTCGCAAAGATCTTTTTCGAAATACTTAAAATAGATTCAAAAAGGTTTAAAAGTTACATCTTGCTGTTTTTGCAGTGAAATCTTAGCATGGTGATAATACTAGAAAAATTTTGCTATTCCAGCGACTAATTTAAGCATTTTAGATAATTGATTTTGATGGTTCAATAAAATTATTTTCAGATCTATATCTTAGACCAAATTTTTAAATGTTTCAACAAAACTGTTCCTTTCATGTTAAAATTTTTTTTTCGGCGGATTCCTCGAGCGTTTCGAAAGTTCCAGTGTCGTGGAACAAAAATTAATTTCCTCTAAACGGCAAGTTTCCGAAACAAGAATGTCACATGCGCTTTTACTTATTTCTGACAGAGCTTATTTCGCAGGTAGTATCGATCAAATACTCCTGCACGTCGCGGGGACACGCACGAGGCACTCAAAGCGAGGCGGCGAGGCTCAGTTGAGTATTTGCGACAACGGGACGGACAACTGTCGGGGAAAAAGTTATTAAGTATTCTCCCATCGGAATTATGTCAGAGCGACAAACGGATTCGTATGACTCGAGACCGATAACGTCGAAGAGAACGGAGAGGCCGCCGTTCAAGCTGTGTTTCTCGAGAGACCAGCAGATCGGAAAATCCAACGTTTGCATATCAAAGACAAACGGTACATACTGCGCACATACGTGGAATGTCCCAGAATCATCGTACATCCGTCTCGATTGTTTCCGCGAGAAAGCGAGATCGAATCGAAGTCAAATTGGCCGAGGAATCAGTGCTGAAAAGGATGGATTTTCGCTGGATTTCGTGAGAAACGATATACGCGATAACATTTATCTTTTTTAGGGTACCGAGCTGCCAATTTATCGTCATACGTAATTATTAACTTTCATATCATATTTCATATCATTCGTATCTGGCCAAGCTCGGTGTCAATAACTTGGAGGGTTATCCCATCGTGATATTGTTTTAAACAATCATACAGAAAAAATATTTTTGCTGGCAAATATAAAATTTGGCCAGATATAGATCTGAAAATAATTGTACTTCAAAGTTATTATGTACGACGTTCAAATTGGTTACCAGAAATTAAAAATTTTAGTATTATTATTATTATTATTATTATTATTATTATTATTATTATTATTATTATTATTATTATCACGTTTAAGCGCTTTTTATAATAATTTTGATGCTCAACAAAATTATTTTCAAATCTGTGTCCAACCAAATTTTTAGATTTGCCAGCAAAACTTCTCTTTATACGGGAAATTCTTCGGAGAGAAGATCTAAACATTTGCATGAAAAGAACTGAAATATCTAAAAATTTGATCGGATCTGAAAATTTTCTTGGGTTTTTGATTGCTCAGTTAAAATTAGCGAGATTTTTGTGAAATTTTACCGCGAAATCTTTACGGGTTTCATTCGCGATGAGTTTATTTTTCGGTAATGAGCTCGAGTTTTATTCATGGTTTATTGAATCGGAATGAAAATATATTCTTCCCCTCCCCCCCCTCTCACCCCGCGGTGATCGGCGCAATCGCGATTTTAATTTCCGCAAAGCGAAGCTGCAAATTGTGCGTAATACGACCTGAATAAATGCGCACGCGAAGTATAAATGAATTACAGCGGAGTTCATTACGCCGAAATTCTACTCGAGGGAACTCGAGGACGCGCGCAATGCGGACGTAAGCGATACGCTCGAGAGACTCGCCAAGGAACAAGATAGGAACCCGAGGAGCCTGTACCAGTCGCCGTTATTGACCAGCCACACGTAATTCCCGTCTCTCCTGATGGTCCATTTTCTTAATTGTCTGTTGTCATTCTAATGGCGTTCATGATGATTTTCAGTTACGGCTGGTGGCATGACAGGGGGATACACCCGAAGGATACGCGGTTCAACTTTCATAAGAGAACGTCGGACCTCGTGAGCTTCCAGATGAAAATTTACGCCGAGGATCGAAAGTTGAAAGGCCTTAAACAATAAACAACGATAGAAATTTCACTTTGGCTGTTTTATTTTATTATCAGGTATTCGCTATTGACGTAATTCAATGGCCATCATGAATAAATGTATATTTCGATTGGGATCATTTATTCATGTTTTTTTCCCCCTTCATACCCAAAGAGATTTCTTGTTATAGATATTAAGACATCTTTTAGACAAACATATGCGGCTTGGAGTTTTAGTCAAATACTTGTCCTTTTTAGCTAAACTTTTTGCATCTCGTTCATTCCTTCTTCTTTCCTTCTTGTATTAAAAATAAAAAAGATCTTAGATTTAAATCGGATTTTAAACTTGCGACTTCCATATATCTCTTTTTTATCTTTAAAAATTGAAAAAAGTAGAGTAAATTAAACCCTGATTAAAGTCAACCTACATTGATAAAAAAACGGATATACTTATGCGATTACTTCTATACAAAATCTCGCATCATTCTAGGCGCGAAGTCGAACGCGAAAAAGGCGCGAAATCGAGGCGCGCAGCGCTGCCGGCGTGCTGCGCACGCGCGAGCGCGCGTTTCCACGATTTCGATATATCGCCGCGTTCCCGCCTTTTGACGGGCGAGCGAGCGTGACCAATCAGCGAGGCGGATCGCTGCCCCACTTCGTTGCTTCGCCGAGACGATCGCGCGCGACGAGCGACCGAACCGCCACCGAATGATTTGTTTTGCTAGTCCGGCTGGGTCGGTGGGTTCTGGATCTCGTGGAGTTTTGAAGAAAAAGGGAGAAGACTGAAAGGAGTCATCACGAGCGGCTCGACGGTTCCGTCAAGGATGGATTCCGGCGGCATAGTCGAGCACACGCGGCTGCACAAGGAGGTCCGGCTGCCGAAATCGGCGGAATCCTCGCCGCCCGAGAGGTGAGGCTGGTTCTGTCATGCCGCTTTTGGTTATCGGCCGCACGCGAGCTTCTTACCTGTTGCCTGTTGCTCCCTCGGCAGCGGGGAAGGGGATGTAGACAGGTGTACACCCTCGCGCGCGCGGTCATTCGCTCGTTTCCTTCGATTAGGTTAAAAAATGAGCCGCGGCCGAGGGGGACGCTCCGAGTAGTATTGGATGATGCCCGGAGTACGTGGCGACCGACCGTCCCGTTTTGTTGTGCCTCGCAGCGAATGCTCGATGTACTACGATACTGTGGCCGAGACTTGACGCTGCCGAGAAATCGCGACGCTTCCCCGATTGTTAATTGCACGTCTTCCCTATTTTCGCGAGCGAACTTTCAGTATTCGCGATATTTCGGAGGTATCTCGGATTGGGAAGACCGCATGCTCATCCGAGAATCTCCACGAAACGTTTTCTCGATTTTCGAAGATTGAAACTCTTGTATTTGCGAAGTTGCTCGTGAGATTAAGATTTGGAACAAATGTGTGCTTCCTACAAGTAAACAACGACGAAAATCATGTGTATTTGGTAGATATAAACTTGAGGCAAAGATTGGTCCAAACAGTATTCTTATTTTCTTCTTCTTTTGTATGCATGACTGTATGTAAATGAATCTATTGACTTTCCGTTATGTATAAATTATTATTTTTGTTTGAAAAATACAGATAAATCTATTTTTTTTTGCTATTGATATGTATGTAAAATAAATGATATTAACCATATGATATTTTCATGATTAACTTAGATTGTATGTAATTGAAATATTAATCCTTCCCTACAGTATTTGCCTGGTTTTCTAACAGTTCACTTGAGTAAGAACTTGATATTATAGTTTGGAAAATAAGAGCTTAAATATCTATACCTGTAATGAATAAAGATCCATCCTCTACATCATCATCCTGGTGGAACAGGTTTATATGATTTGTTCCTTTATTTATAATTAAATTGATCTATTTATACCTAGACTTTTTGTAAAGAAAGATTATCTATGTTCACAGCAAAAGATTACGTTTGGATGATGGCTGCAATAACAATCTAAATAGTACTCTCAACGATTCTCAAAATAGTGCAAAATGGCCATATTCGGGAAATACCAGCCTTATAGAACCTGAAATTCTGGAAGATATGGGAGTTGGCATGTTAGAAGATGGAGCAGTTTACAGTGAAAGTACAAAAAGGCCACAATCTGAAGAATGTACAATTTTATCTGAGAATTTAGATAGAAATAAATCAATAATAAATGAAACAGATGCCTTCGGATATCAAGAAGAAGTTTATACAAGTTCTAGTTTTGAAATTGTGAATACAGACAGGTTTGTGAAGAGAAAGTTGTTTTTAGGAATTAAATTGTCTTTAAATTATTTATTATTCACTTATTATTTTTGCAGGATTCAACAAGATTCATATGATTTGGATGAATTAGCAGTATTTGGTAACACAGAAAATGAATCTGGTTATTCTTCGAGAGTGGAAGCTGATTATTTTGCAGATTCAAAAGAAAGTTTTACTAAGGAAAAGATGAATATTTCTGCTGATAGGAACGAGCAGGCTTGCTTAGATCAATTCTGTTTATTCCGAAGGAAAAGAAGACCTTCCATTGAGGGCGAGAATAAATTTGATAAATTATCAGATGAAATAATTTTGATGATATTAAAATGGTTACCTAAAAGATATCTGGTAAGAATAGTAAACAAGTTAAATGTAATTGTAATTTTTTTATGAAATTATATGTATCATATATATATATATATATATATTTAATAATTACACGAATATTTAATAATTATATAAATTATTTTATGTGCAGGTAAATTCTATGTTAGTATGCAAACGTTGGTGTCAGATAGGTCGAGATGAAGCATTGTGGACTAGATTAGATTTGAGTAGCAAAGTTTTAAACGAAGGCACATTGGGGTACATATTGCCGCGAGGAATACAAATTCTGAGACTGGCGCAGGCGGAAATCGCGGATCCTATCTTCTGTGAGAGCAGCGAAGTTCTTAACGACTCTTACATCAGTAAATTACAATACTTGGATTTATCCATGGCGGTTATATCGCCAGCTGGTTTGGCTGCCTTATTATCCAAATGTAAATATCTGAAAAAATTGTCACTGGAAAAGTGTATAGTAAATAGAGATTGCTGTAGAGCTATTAGTCAAAACACTGAATTAGAAGTTTTGAATTTAACAATGTGCGAGAATATAGACATTGGATGTATCACGGATTTAATGAGACTTAAATGGTAAAATTATTATTATCTCTATGTATATTTAGGTAATGACAGTTGTTTTTATTTTAACACGAATTATATTTTAGTTTAACTGCCCTCAACATGGCGTGGTGTTCTTTGGATAATGAATGTATGACTCTACTTTGTAAAACACTGTCAGCATCAATTACACGCTTGAACCTAGCAGGGTGTAGAAAAACTATGACTGATGATAGTAAGTATGATAATTGAGATTCATTAAGCTTTAATATGCTTCTCTTTTTCTCGTAAATTTCAGATATAAAGGATTTGTCGAAAAGGTGCCCGGATATTATAGAATTAGACTTGAGTGATTGTGCTATGCTCACAATACATACTGTCCATAATTTATTAAACTTTTCGAAACTCGAACACTTATCGCTGAGTCGTTGTTATAGTATTCCGCAATCGGCTTACGTTAGATTGGCGCACATGCCGTGTTTATTGTACTTAGATGTTTTCGGCTTGATGTCGGAATCGGTACTGAAAACGTTGCAAATTGCCTGCCGCGAACTCGAGATTAATAAGTACCTCTATAGCTCGGTCGCAAGACCGACAGTTGGTATTCGAAGGACCAGTATTTGGGGCCTACGAGTTAGAGATTAACTTTAATAGGCAACATTTTTGTCAATTTACAATACATCAAGAGGGATAGATTTGACCAAAGGGTAATTGATCTATACGTAATATTGCATCTTTTCATACAGACTGAATATCGTACTGATTAAAAAAGTGAGTTTAATTTGAAGAAATAAAATAGTATAGATGTTTAATAAGATAATATGTATGTTCTTCCGGAAATTTAATATTGAATTGTTGCTCAGAATGATGATAATTTCTTGTATATTCATATTATACCTATAATACGGAGCATTCGCTGATATTTAACATGTCAGCTTGTTACGGCTGTGTGAGACTGACTTATTTACAATTCCTAATCATGGTATTGAATTTTGTCAAGAATTTTTGTTTCGCTTATATTAATTCTTACCGGATTGAATTTTTCAAGATCTCAGAAGATAAGATGAAATAGTTATATATGGTTGTATATTTACAAAAGAGAATTCGCTTATAAAATGCGAAAACTCAAATCTATAAATCTATAATGTATTTGTGATAAAATTCCATGCCTATTCTTAATTAACGATTATACGAACGAATCAATTTGTTGTGCATATAATAAAATTTCTTGAATTGAAAATTGTTTTTAATGTTAGATGCTTATTTGTTACAATTGCTAACAAAAAAATGTTTAATTCAAAATTATATGTTGCTCATATCAAGTAATTCTAATTGATTATTATTCAAATTGATGTATTGATTTAATTACACATGAATATGTACAACAATTAGGGGCATGCGCATTATATTTAAATATTTACATATCAATAATTATATGTGCCTATATTGTCTTGATATCATAATTATATTTTTATTCGCGTCAGACAGCAAAAAAGAAAATTTACAAATAAAACTTTCGAAATTTATTATCGTCCCAAGTATCGCCTTGTGTCATTTCCTGTTTCATTACATTCTCATATTTCTAATTTAATATCCAATATTTATTACATTTTGGAAAAAATTAAATTTTTTCTAATCCATAGATTTAAAACTCAGAATTCGAATTAATTTCTGAAATTTTCATTGGGGACGGATAAAAATGATATATTAATTTCTGCAAGCTGATAAATTTTGTCTGGAATTGAGTATGTAATTTGTATAGAAAAAATTCCTTATTTATAATTAAAATAAAAAACTTAAAACACA